TATTTTTTATATTTTATACATATGTGTTTACAAATTTGGTGTATAATATATATACCAGAACCATTTGAAACTCAAAGGTCATTCAAACACGAATTTCACAGGTAATTTTGAGGTTTTTAATTTGATTTTGGATAACAGAGATACATGCTTTTAGATCACTACAGTTACTATATATTATTTGGATCCCGTACTAAATTTCTTGAAATGTTTGGTATAACTTAGACCTAAACTCCTTGTGCCTATTGATTACCTTTCTCTTAACCTGAGGAGGTGTGGTATAAGAACTGTATTGCCACTTTGAGGTTTTTGCCAAATTAATACCTGACTCTATTAAAGCTTCACTAGGGTATATTTATCTTATTTTGCCAATCTTTTATTAAGTCATTATATTATGTTAACCTTTTGCTTAGAGGAGAGGTTGCAGGGCAATGTAAAGTTTACATTGAACCGTAACATCAGATTACATTGTCCTGCAGCTCAGGAGATCTAGCCTTTATTTTCCATTTCTATGTAGTTCATGACCTTTCATAATTAATTTTATGTCTCTGGGACTTACTTGCTATATCTATGTACCTAAATGATAGTCTTCTCTGTAATATCATGCTGAAAAATAGAAAAATGCTAATAGAAAGTTCAATGTAAGAGATGGCACTGCTTTTGGAGCAGCTGTCATGGCCTAAGGATACAAGAGAATGAAAGCTTTTAGCTCCAAGCAGGATCTTTTCAGATTAGATGATTTAGCTGGAAGATGTTTTGCATGCAAGGCTCCATCTACAGGACTCACTGCTTATCATCTCTAAATATTGTGTCACATTATACCTATGGAGAAACTGGGTCAGACCCTGAAAAATTCCACAGACTGCAGATAAATTTTCCATTTTATTCTTTATAAAACAGTAGCTTTGGTTGCACTTGTATTTCTTTTCCTGAGCAATTTTAAGACCTGTAGCATTTCTATGGGCTTCAAAATATTCCATAACATTTATGGCAGGTTTCACTCCTTAAAGTGCAGCCTTTTGGAGCCAGGAGTGTGCCCTTACAGCAGCAGTGTGCTCTTTCATGTATTCTTTGTTGCATTGTATAGGTGTGTGTGCACAACAACATAGTCTACCCCGTTGGGACAACCTGGGAAGATGGTTGCAGGGAATGCTCTTGCACTAGGATGAGGGATGATGTTACAGGACTTCAGATGATGGAGTGCCATGACAAAGCATGTAACACGTACTGCCCTCGGGTGAGTAACATTTGAACCAGTGCACTAGCCAGCAGAGCCCTGATGTGGATCTGAAATGATTGCTTTTAAACCTGCTTGTTTAGAGAGAAACCAGAGAAAAATAGGAAATAAGTGTTGTAGCAACGAATTATCTTGGGAACAGAGTCTAAGAGGGCCTGAGCATTATTGACTTTATTTTAGGCTTATTGTTTTAGGATTGTATCCTGCTGCCAAGAAAATCCGTGACAAGTTTATTTTATATTTTGATAAAAGAAAAACTGCATCCTGAAGTGTCTGTCATTTACACCACTTGCACGATAAATGTTCATATGTCTGAAGTTCAATTGCAAACGTCTGTTCTAGCTCAAGTTCACTTTCTGATCTGTCTGTTGCTCAGCTCTGCCCATTGTAGCAGTAATAACACCACATGCTGTGGCCTTTATTATACTCAGACATCTGCTACAAGCTATAAAATTATGTGGTCTACTTTGTGGAAGCCTGCAAAGGAAGTATGAGCTGCTTTGTTATATTTATGTAGCTGGTCAAGCAGGAACAGACAGATAATTGGGACAAAAAGTTGGTAGAGGAATTAGGAACAAGTTCTTCCCCCAGAGGGTGGTTGGGCACTGGAACAGCTCTGCAGGAAAGTGGTCATGGCCTGACAAGCTATAAAATTATGTGGTCTACTTTGTGGAAGCCTGCAAAGGAAGTATGAGCTGCTTTGTTATATTTATGTAGCTGGTCAAGCAGGAACAGACAGATAATTGGGACAAAAAGTTGGTAGAGGAATTAGGAACAAGTTCTTCCCCCAGAGGGTGGTTGGGCACTGGAACAGCTCTGCAGGAAAGTGGTCATGGCCTGAAGCCTGACAGAGCTCAAGGAACGTTTGAACAACACTCTCAGGCACATGGTGTGATTCTTTAGGCTGTCCTGTGCAGGGCCAGGAATTGGACTTTGGTGATCCTTGTGGGTCCCTTCCAGCTCAGGATATTCTATGATTCTGTAACTTGACGCAGCTTTCATAGTTTGTAGTCTCATGTGCTCACAATCTGTAAATTCATTAGGCTGTGCAGTGTCCATGTGGAGCAACTAGATGTGGCTACCTGGGATTCAGAATATTCTGGGCAGGTCTTTTTTGACCCAAAGTTTTCCCCATGGGTTTGTTCTTCTCTGAACCATGAACTGAAACTCAGAAGCAGCTAATTTGTTTTCTTCCTCAGTGCAGAAGCAAAGATGAGCTAGTTAATGCTATTCAAATCTCTGAGTTCTAAAATGTTTATATTAGGCTACATATTGCATTAGCCCCCACAAAATTAAAACAGTTGACCAAGCAGCATATTTTTCCAATTGTTTGTTGTAACAACATTAAAAATGTGTCTGGAAGTCAAAGATTGACCTTGGACATAGAACATGTATGCTGCACCTCAGGGCTGAGTTAATGTTGTGGTAGGAGCCCTGAATTGTCTGACTTATTTCAAATTATAATTTAAATTTACACTATTATGTATTTTAAAACAGCAAGTCATGCATGGAAATTTGGCTATGAACTTTTCAGCTAAACAAACCAATACCTGAACAGCAATTCTCTTTTCTGAATTCTCTTAAGCTAAGTATGCCTTGGTTTTCAAATCCTTTCAAATGCCTTATTACCACTGTATTTCAATATAGTTTAACTTATAGTCTCTGTATCAAAACAAGGCTGGACAGTGTATGTGTATGTGCACTTGAGAAGCTCTGAGTAAAATACAAACTTTTTTTGAATATTATTTTCCTCTGCTGTATCTTAAACACTGCATCATTCTCTAGGACCAGAGCAAAAAAACCAATCCATTAGAGAAAAAACAAACAAACCAAACTTGTATTCCTTCTGCAATTGCAGTTTGGCTTGAGGATGCCAAATGCAGTGAAAAACATGAGGGTAGATGTGAGTGTTTTCAGCTGTTCCAAGAGAACCCTTTCAGTTGTCACTTGTTGAAGAGACTTGTTTCTAGTATAGCAATTACTATGAAATATTAGATCTAAAATATATGTGTTTCAGCTCATAGCCATAACTTCATCAGTAACTTGTTAGTCCAGTAAAATATTATTAATGCAGATATACAGATCCTTGACATTGCAGTATCAAAAAACCTGTTTTAAAACAAAAAGCCTTGGTGGAAACCATACCAGTTCTTTTGGGGAATTTGTTATTTCATCTGCTCCTCTAATGGTTATCAAAGTTGTACAACAAAAACTGTAGCTGTTGGAGTACCTGGATAGCTCAGATTTTTTTTAACCTTTGCTTATTCCTGATTCAGTGGCTATATGCATCAAGGACAGCTGAAGTTTTGTAATCTAGTTTGAATTGGCTTTAAAACTTATTTTTCAGTTCAGATTAGATGTCATTGAAAATCATATTGACATTAAATACATACTTTAATCATGGATCATTACTAAGATAATATTCAGACTCTGCTGCTCATGGTTATTGTTTTCATTGCCAGATGTGAAAGTTGTGCAGTCTCATTTTTGACTGTGTCACTTGACTTGTCTGAAAACAGCTTGGAGGTTTACCTAGCTACACAAAAAGAGAAAAAAACATCCAACCCCCTCCTTCCCCCCTCCCATAACATGTACTAGCTCCTTCATCTTGGTGAATGAAAGATGCTGCTGTTATCCTGAGCATGGCAGAACTAAACTCAAATCATATCTGCAGTTTTAGAATGTAAAGAAATGCTATGGAAAATGGATGTTTCATTTAAATGAACCCATCCTACAGTTCTCTGAGGACCTCAACAGCAAATACAGACTTTTCACTTGCAAACCAGGTGTGGATTTGCCTCATTGTGTGCCATAGTCCCCTTGTCACTTCTGTCCTCTTCTATCTTTACAAAGTTTTGAGAAAGCAAGCAGGTAAATGCTGCAAGAATTGCATGTGTGATAAGGAGGGATGGAGTCTCCCTCCCTGGGCTGCTTCAGAAATAGTTTCTCTGAGAGCACATCATCTACATCCCTTCATCTACACCCCTGTCATCCTTCAGAGAGTAATAAACTAGACAGCAGCTTTCAAAACACCTTCAAATCATGAGTATAGTAATGCAAAGAGAACATTTTGCTTAATTTCTGTCAGTGTTCTTGGAGTTAGGTACAAAACAGTGTGGTTTAAAGTATGGATAATTTAAACTATTAGATGAATATGAGAAGAATTAAGCATGATTTTCTGGGGTAAGTGTTTAAAACGAAAACACTTGGGCAAGTGTTTGTAAATTAATTAGGTTGGATTTTCAAGCCTCTTGATTAATTAGCTTAAAATAAAGAACATTTGCATCCTACATGCAAAGGCACAGTGAATTATGGTTGTAATATATGCTGACTGCAAAAGCCAGGACCTTAATCTCCAGTATTTTAAACAGATATTTTCCTTTGAAGTAGCATGTACAGCATGGTAATAAATGGCTTAATGGTATATATTAAGGAGGTCAAAGAAACTAATGTAAAAGGAAGAATTTGAATATTGGATGTGCAGAATCTCATTAAAAAATTGTGAAAGCCTTGTTGGGAGGTAATTTCAAACATCCTGCTTGCATTTTAAAGCATCCTTTATTATGGGAATTAGGAAATGATACCTTAATGTTTGAGAGAATTAAGTCCTCACCTGGGGTAGATGAGTGCAGGTCCAGGGAAGTCTCTAGAATTGTGCTGATTCATCACCACTGAAGGTTGTGCTTTCAGCATTTCAAGTTGATTTTTATCCATCCCACTGGGTTTTTCTCAGTTTACTGTTGCCATTTTCATTCTCTTTTGGTTCCACCCAATCCTCTTTAGGTACTATCATCTCACTATGTAAAAGGCAAACACTGGAGCCTTCTTCAAAACAGTGTTGAGGAATAATCTCAATTCTTTCCTGCTTTGTTGGCCAAAAGGCAGCAGAGATTTTTGGCCAAAACCTTAGCACCCTAGAAAAGATGAACTATGCGTCTTGAGCAACACTAGAATGAAAGAAGGAGTGCACAAATTACGCCAAGCCATAGCTTGTGTGGATCCCTCCAGTGACCTGGAGTAGGTGATGAAACCAAAATGTGCATTCTCTGAATGCTACAGAATTAATCTGCATTCCTGTTTTGTTTGTCAGAAGCCAAGCTCAGTTCAAAACCACACAATTCCTGCCCCCCACTCCCTGTAAAATGTCTTAATCTGTACACTGTCACCCACCACATGGGAGAGCAGCTTTATCTCCACATTTCTGTTTGCTAAAAGAGCCTGATGTGGCAGCATAACTGAGCACTTGTCAGGTTCCTCATCACAGCTGCCATTTGTCGCTCCCGAGTCAGTCACAGGCACCTGTTCAAAGCCAAGAGTTGCCTCGTGCTGCCTTATCCCTTACCCCCTGAGGCACGGGGATTTTTTTAGTCCTGTAGACTGTGATCTGCCTCTCACTGTGATGGACAGTCCCACACTTACTGAGGGCTTCTTCTGAAGTTTAGGTCTCTCTCTGAAGTTTGAACTGTGTGTAAAAGACATACAAAAAAGGCAAGATATGCAAGAGGAATACAAAGAGGAATACAGCAGTGAATCCAGTTCAGAAAAGGGAAAAAGCAGCAAAGAAGCAGAATATTGACTATAAGTGTCTTCCTTGAACATACTACAGCAAACATTGGCTTTTCTACGTGCTAAAAATGCACAACAGCGCAACTTCTTCCACAAAGCTGGATCAAACTGCCACCAAATTTTATGACATTATATGAAATACTCTTCCATATCAAAGTCCACTGATTATTGAGGTTTGCCAATGTGCTTCACATTGCAAATCAGGGACAGTTCGTGAAGGGATGGAGCAGTTGGGAATACCTCAGCAATTCAGTTCAAAGGGGTTGACCAAAATAAAATTATGATTATTTTCATTGGCATTTTTCACATGAACAATATTTTCTGTGAAAGAATATCTTTCCTTCAACTCTGTATTGAAATCAGAGTAATGTTTTGCCCCTTGGAGACTGCTTAGTCTAATCAGAAAGCTCTCCTTGCTTTCATTCTCTTTCCAGTTTGAGTATTTGGCTACTTGCTTCAGGAGATTAATATGTATTTAAAGTGAGAATTAGGATTCCTGTTATTTCTACGGTATTTTTGTATATTTATTTTTTTTTGTTGACCTATATGTCATTTCCCTGGATTCCTAAGACTTTTTAGTTCTCTGTTCTGTGAATGTATCAGGGCCTACTGCTCAATTATAATTTTCATGCTCATTTCATGTTCCATAATAAAGTGTTAGACTTGGATAAGATGCATTATTTCTAGTATCTTGTATTTCTAGTATCTTGTCTTAATTTGCAGAATATTTTAAAATACCTTTTGCAGTTACTGTATTGGCTTATGTTTTGTTGGACTTGGCAGTGCTGGGTTAATGGTTCAACCTGATGATCTTAAATGTCTTTTTCAGCCTAAATGATTATGTGATTCTATGAAAAGATGAAATGATCAGGCAAAACCTGTCCCTGAACTACATGTCTAACCAACCTGCCTCTTCCCTCTGCTTAAGCACAGGGTAGTCAGATACCTGAATGTGCTCAGACTCAATCCAGTGGCAACTCTGACCACCTTAGACTTATTTTTACTTTTGCACTCCTCTTTGGGACCATTTTATTGGAAAGACTTGCTCTTCACAATTTGCTAATACAACAAAGAAACTACACAAGGCACAGTAGTTGATTGGCATGGATAGTGCCTGGAGTTAGTCCATGTAGCTGAAGAGAATGTCTTCAAAATACATATAAAGCAGGAATTAATGATATAAGAATATCTCCTTCTAATGTTGTGTGCATTTAAATTTGTCTTTTCTAACAGGTAATGTTAACTATTTAGCAGAATGCTGAACTGGGTGGACTGCTTGTTTTGTAATAGCAACACGTGTTTTGTTTTGCAAACTCCCCTTTTCATAAAATGTTGCTAACATGAAACATCGATCCCAGTGTTTTCTTTTGGGATCAATCTTCTCATTTGTCTCCTGTTCCTGGATCAGCCAGTCCTTTGCTTTTCTCCTACAGGGTTACAGATATATTGTCCCGGATGGGGAGTGTTGTGGGAGATGCCAGAAGATTGCCTGTGAGGAGAAGTTGTTCTGGTCTCCGGGTGATGAAGATCCTCCTTTGCATGAGGTGAGGTGACAGTGGTGTGGGCATTTCCTCTTCTAGCAGAAGCACCCTGGAAGTATTTTGTGTTCCACACAAGGAGATGAAGTAGATATCAGCTATTTCTTCCACACATCAAGCAGCACTGATAAACAATGTTTTGCGATGCATGTGACTTACCCACTTGATTCTAACAAGTAAATCCTCCCTACCCTTTTCTCTAAGGAAAGAAATATTTTTTCTGTAAAGTGAGTAATTCCAGAAATGGTAGCTCAAAAGAATGTTAGTGGGACATAATGCTTCTCTGGCTGATGGCTATTTGTTTAAATTATCCCAACTAATTTGTGTTGCACTGCGCATAGCAGGCAGACAGGCTTAGTGGATTGCTTGATTCTCACAGTCCTATTCAGATAGGATATCTCACATGATACACACTGAAATATCAAGAAGTAAATGAAGACAGAAACCTGAGTTAGTCTCTGGTTGCTAAAGATGATTGCTGCATGTCAGATCAGATCATGGGGGTCTGGGCTGCACTTTTCTGCTCAAAAAACCAGTTTATTTTCAGCACTTTGCCTCTTTCCTTGGGATTCAAAGACCCTGAGGAAGTGAGTGCATGCAACAGCCATTTAAAATGCCCTGCAGATATCCTGCCACTCTGGAAAGTGACATGGATATCTTTTTCTTTTCTTCCCCCACAATTTTAATTCCTTTGGGCTATTTAGCTGATCAGCAGCAGCTGAACATGAGCCAGCAGTGTGCCCAGGAAGAAAGCCAAGCCAATGCCATCCTGACTTGTTTCAGCAACAGTGTGGCCAGCAGGACCAGGACAATGAATGTCCCTCTGTACTGGGCACTGGCCTCAAGCCATGCTAAGGAAAGTTTGGTTTGGACATTCAGGAAGAGTTGCTTCATGTAAAGGGTGGTCAAGCATTTGATCAGACTGCTCAGGGAGGTGGTGGAGTCATTATCCCTGGAGGTGTTGAAGAAATTACTGGATGTAGCACTGCCATGGTCTAGTTGACAAGATGGTGGTTTGTCAAATGTTGCACTCGATGGGCTTGGAAGTCTTTTCCAACCTAAATGATTCTATGATTCTGTGATTTGATTTGTTCTATCTGTAAACCAACCACCCTTGGCAAATTTTGCCAGCTCCTGTAGCATTAAATTGCTTAATCCTGTGTAGAACTTTGGATTCAACAATGGCAGGAACAGTAAGTTAAATATATTTAAAATAACAAACCTGCTCCCCATCTTTTTTTCCCTAAGTGTTGTTTGTTGCAATGTGCCTGTGTCTTTATCTACATCTCACATTCACATATTTAAACTAACTTAAAAATGACTTCCTTCACAAAGACAGTCTGCTGCTCTCTTAAAAAACCCATGTTACTGTTGCAGCCTGCCTCTTCCCTGATTTTAATAAGGATATTTCTTAATGTGGATCAATATTCTTTTCTGCTTCACAAAATAAGCCTTCAGAAGGCCTTTTTTAATGTCCCACTGTGTCTCAATGATTTCTTTCATCCTAATACAGTAACAGTTATACTCTGTAGTCTCTTTATTGTTGTGTACTCTTTCAACTCTTTTGTCATTAATGGAGAACTAAGTATTAACACGAGAGGACAGTATTCCCTAACTTTCTGAGCAAAGGTTTTTGAAATTACTGCAGTTTGGGGTATGATTTTCACTTTCATTGTTCTTGAAGTGTGTTCAGAATGGTAACAGTGGGGGCACACAGCTGCAAAGCAGTGATCAGCTTCTCTCAGCACTGAACTGTGGCAGCATCTTCTTTCTAATCTGTGGTGATGTGTCTTCCTGTAAATGGCACTTGCAGTTCCGACTTCATCTGACCTGTGGGTGATTATGATTAGCAGAACTACCAACAGGATCTGGTCTCTTCTGCATTCACAAGTGTTTTCAGGTCTAGAGCCCATTGCCAAAGCCTCCTCTGGGCTCTGCAGAGCTGATTGTCAGCAGGTTCCAGCAGAAAGAGGGTCAGCTCAGCTACAGTCAATGCAGCACAGCCAGCTACCACCACAACAAATGCACATATAAGTCTAGTTAGGAGTGCCTTTTATTTCTTCACATGTTATTTGACTTGTCCCTTTATTTTATACCTTAAGGATATTCCTGTAAGCAGCAGACTGTTCTATAAACTGATGATTTTATACCTTAAGGATATTCCTGTAATTCCTATTCTCTACAAAGCAAGCAGCAGACTGTTCTATAAACTGATCATCATGGTAAGGATTTGTGGAGAACAGTTGAATGGCACACTGTTCCTGGAGCAGCAAATGTGCTTTTTGCAAACCAGCATGCTGGCTGTGTGGGGCTTCCCTCTATCCAGTGACACAAATACTGCTACCTAAATTTAACCCTTTTACAATTTCCCATCAGGTGGGCACAGAGTGGCGATCGCCCTTCAACCCTTGCATTATCAATGAGTGTGTCCAGGTGAACAATGAGGTTTTTGTGCAGAAAAAGAATGTTTCTTGCTCACAAATGGATGTGCCTGACTGCCCAGAGGGAACTGAGCTACGCTGCAACCAAATAATAGATTGCTGTCCTTCCTGCAGATGTGGTAAGGTTTCTTGTGTGACAAATGGAATCACTAGAGAATGAATCATCTCATGTGTTGATCTCCTGTTTCTCAACAGCAATTTCAAAAGTGCATGTTATGCAAGAGCAGCCCTGCTTTGAAGTGCTCCTGTGTAATTTAGACATTGAGTACAGTAGCACCTGCTGCTATTACTTTCTCTTTCCAGCTGATGTTCACCATCTCCTCTTGAACTACTCACTGTTGAAGCTGTTTCGCATTGCTTCAGAGACACATACCAGGATTTGTTTCTGCATTGCTAAGCATTAAAAAGAGATTTTGACATGCTTTTGGCCTATGAAGGTTCAACACTCTCCCCAGTGCCTGTTAGGGAAAGGCAGTTTGTGTGCAGCCAAGCTGTCCTCTGTCTGTCTCTGAGATTGTGGCTGGACACGAGCTGCAATGTGCACCGACAGCTCAGAAACCAACCATGTTCTGAGCTGCATCCAAAGCAGTGTGGGCAGCAGGGGAGGGAGGAGATTCTGTCCCTCTGCTCTGCTCTGGTGAGACCCACCTGAAGTGCTGCATCCAGCTCTGGAGTACCAGCACAGGAAGGACATAGACCAGTTGGAGTGAGTCCAGAGGATGCCACCAAGATGATTAGAGGGATGTAGCACCTCTCTGATGAGGAAAGGCAAATAGAATTGTGATTAATCAGCCTGAAGAAGAGAAGGCTTTGGGATGGCCTAATTGCAACCTTCCAGGACCTGAAGGAGCCTACAAGAAAGATGGAGAGAGATTATTTACAAGGGCATGGAGTGACAGGACAAGAGGGAAATGGCTTCAAACTGACAGAGAATAGGCTTAGATTATATATTATGAAGAAATTCTTCCCTGTGAGGGTGGTGAGGCACTGGTACAAGTTGACCAGAGAGGTTGTGGATGCTTCATCCCTGGCCGCATTCAAGGCCAAGTTGGATGAGGCTCTCAACAACCTGGTCTAGTGGAAGGGGTCCCTGTCCATGCCAGGGGGGTTGGTCAAGATGATCTTTAAGGTCCCTTCCAATTCAGGCCATTCTATGATTCCTAGCATAGACTTGGCTCAAAATCCAAATAAAATGATTTGGATAATCGGCCTCATTCTGGGAAGACTCAGTCATGTTTAGTTGACAAGTATGTGTGCAACCACAGGGTGGGGAGCTAGTAGTGGGAGGAGGAAAGGATATGCACACTCTAACTTGCCAAATTTCTGAGTGTATATTCTGAGAGTGCGAGGCTTGAACTGGAGGCAAAAATTTATATTGTGACATGTACTTGTTAAAAAATAGCCCAACAAGAGATATTTTGAGGTGGAATTAAGGATAACTGACAAATTCCTGCCTTTTGGGGTGTAATGTAGGAGGGCTCAGTTATGTCTCTTTCCAGTGGAAATCTATGCTCTGAGAGTGCGAGGCTTGAACTGGAGGCAAAAATTTATATTGTGACATGTACTTGTTAAAAAATAGCCCAACAAGAGATATTTTGAGGTGGAATTAAGGATAACTGACAAATTCCTGCCTTTTGGGGTGTACTGTAGGAGGGCTCAGTTATGTGTCTTTCCAGCGGAAATCTATGTAAATTTCTACAAGTTGGAACTGTAATAAGTCACAAAAGCATACCTGTGATTGAATTGATGAATCTTGGCAGTGTCATTTTAATGATAATGCTGAATGGAATATTGTCTTCTTTTTCAGAACCCTTGCATGGCTGTCTGTTGAATGGCACTGTTATTGGGGTAAGACACAATTCCTTTTCTTTGTTGCTATGGTAAGACATTTAGATGTATGAATGAGCTTTTGAAGGATGCAAACTTGCCAGAATATACATAGAAAGAATACAGGGCAGGTTTGTCCAGACAGAATCTCTACTAGTGAGACCTTGGAGTGGCACAGAGCTCAGCACATGTATGTCCAACTCTTGACCCTGCCATGGTCTTCCAATATGACAAAAAAGGATCACTGCAAAGTGGGGCAGTGATGTTTCTTGAATGGATCCTTGAGAAAAATGCTTAGAAACTGTGGTAATCTGCATTATGTAATGGCTTGCAGACTACCAAACACACAGGAAACTATCTGCGAGGGTTAATCTCAAAAAGGATCCTTGCCCACTTTGGGGAAGCAAAAACTTCCCGTGTTCTACTTGGAGGATAAGGCAGATTAAAAAAGGATGGAGACTTGCTCCACCTGTGTGGAAGGAGAGGTATCCCTCCTTGGCTATTAGCAACAACAGGAAAGCTGAGCTTCCTCACTGTTTGACCTCTTTTCCCTTTCAAGATCCCTGCTGATATGCCCTCTGAGGAAATTTTTTCTCAACTACATATTTAATGGATAGATTAAGACATGTTTAACCCAGCCCATGACAGTGGGAATGATGGGAGTTAAGCATCTGATCTCATTTATGCCGAATTTATCTTTGGAGAGCTCTGTCAATTGTCCATTGTTTCCCTAAATCCATATTCTGGCAGTACCTCTGGTGTCAAAGAGCTCTAAATATTCTCATCATCCCCCAGGGAAACAGGTTCTCTTTAGTCATTTAACCTAACTTTTAACCTACGTATTCCTGCATTGCCGATGTGTGTGTTTCTATTCCATTTATTTAAAGGTAAATTTACTCAAAAGTCTTTGTTCTTTAGAGGTATGGCAGAGAGAACATGTCTCCACCTATTTCTTTTGGTTTGGATTTTTTTTTCATAGTTGATAGGTATAAGTTTGTTATGAGTTTGTTAGAGCTAAAGCCACATCATCAAGCATCCAACATTCTGTGCAGGGATTACTTCCCTGTAGAATTGAATCCAGGGAATAACCCTGCCTTTCTTGTCAGAACACTGGTTTAAAAGTGGCAAAATCTGAAATAATCTACTTTCTCTTTGATCCCTGTACTTGTCTTCTCTATAGTATCTTGTCAAAACTAGTTGTGGCATTCTGTAAAGACTATCCTTTAGGAATGTTAAGCAGGATATTAATTACCAGTTCCTGCCACGTTCTGTTGTATAGGATATACATCTGTCTGTCTGTCTATCTATCTATCTATCTATCTATCATCTATCTATCTATCTCTCTATCTCTCCTGTGTAGCAAACAGAAGTTTCTCCAGTTGTGTTCTGTTCTTTCCTGACTGACTAATTTTTTTCTCTTACAACAAAATGTTTACCTGATCTGTTGAGCATTTTTCTTCTATTTTCAAGTGTTTGAAAATATTTTAAACTACTTAAAAAGGAAGCGTAAGCAAATTTTGAAGCAAAACGTCATGTTGAAGGCAAAATGAGAAGTATCTGTATTCTGAAGGCTTCAAAATAAAATATCTCTGCTTCTACAATATTGCAAAAACATTCCATTAATAAAATTTGTAAGAAATTCGTGTAGTGTTTCAGCTGACACAAAACTACATTTTATTCATTCTTATTTAGTATCTGGCTATACATAAAAGCTTTCTTTAAATTATCTTTTTTTCTTTTAATGTAGCTTTTAAAATGTGCCATTGTTTTTTCTGACCATTAGCCATTTTATCAAACACTGCCTGAGCAAGGTTCTGAGGCTGTAGGTAGGTCCCAGCTGTTATGTTAGTTCTGTGCTGCTGCTGACACAAATGTCAAGCATTGCTGAAGTTAGCATTCAACAATGCAGTTATCAAAATATTTTGCTCAGGATGGAGAGTGTGAAATTTGAGTTGAGATATAGTCTTGGATGATTTCTAAAGAAACAGGATGTTTTGATTAAAAAAAAATTAGAGCTTATATTAAATTTGCCTTAAATTAATGAACTTTGCAATTAAACTAGCTTCATTTAATGACTTATTGTAAGCTAAATAGCTATGTGTCTGAAAGCTTTTGAGCAGCTGGTGTTAGCACAGCTTGTCATGCAGTATTTTCTGCTTCAATGACTGGTTCCAGAGTCCTGGTCAGGAAGGAAGATGTGATGTCCACAGAAGTTTATACTTCCTGGATTTCAAAACCTTTATTCTGAGTCCTTGAAGAATAGGCTTCAAATTTCATTGTATATCAAGGGAAAACTTAGCTGCATTAACTCATTCACTGAATAGTTCCAAGTTTTGAGTCTTTTCTGCATTTCTGGTAACTGACTCTGTCCTTAATCTCTTTACATTTTTGCCTTGTATCTGGTTACCAATATTATATTCCAGTAATTTGGTGTATTGCATTCACTCTGCTGTTCTTAACAATGCTGTGGGCTTTAACTGCAGACAGCCAAGCAGGTGGCTGTATTTACCAAAAGGATTATCTGTATCACTCATCTGTTTTCCCAGGCTTTTACTGAGTGGCATTTTTGAAGGAGATATGAGTACATTTGGGCTTTATGCAGGTTATTTTAGTTGCACTGGTTGCACATTTCATTCCAAGTTAGCCAAGAAAAGACATGATAGGTGTGTTATATAAAGGGACAAAGATGTATCAATCCACTATTTTGTTCAGTTCTGTCATGCTAAGCAAACTTTGGATCAAGGTAAGACCTTTCTCCAACAGTTCTAGGCACTTTTGTGTGAGGATTTTGTTTCAACTTGTCTCTAGTAAGATCTATGTTCCTGCTTGCAACAGTGATTTTGGTATAAATTCAACTATATCTATTTTGTATTTGTTTGGAATGTTAGAACTATTAGATAATTTGATGAGGATATTGATTATAATATCAGTTGTGGCTTTCTAGGCCCTTTCTTTATGATGCTAAAGCTTAGACCTACTGAGGCCTTCTTTGGTAAACATTTGATTCCAGAGGGAGGGCCTGAATTAAGTATGATTATGGTATGATGCAAAACAAACCCAAGCATAGTAAGAGACAGATCAACATAATGAGGACACCTCTCACATTTTCAAGGCTTTTGCATGTACATGCACGTGTGGAGCTGCTAAAGTGCAGAGCAATACTCGTGTCGCTGGGTTGAATGCCATGTGGTCTGTACTAGAACTATCACTCTGGTGTCTGAATGCTTTGTAATGTTGAGATTAGATAAGAAATCTGGAGTGTCATATGATATTTGCTATCCATCTGTTGTGGTTTAACCCCAGCCAGCAACCCGACTCGCTCACTCCTCACCAGTGGGACTGTGGAGAGAATTGGAAGGGTAGAAAACTTGTGGGCTGAGCTAAACACAGTTTAATAGTGAAAGCAAAAGCCACATAAGCAAAGCAAAGCAAACCAAGGAATTAATTCCCTACCTCCCATGGGCAGGAGGTGTTCAGCCATCACCAGGACCATATCATATGTAAAGATGACCTGAGAAGACAAATGGAATCATTCCAAATGTCCCCCCCATTCTTCCTTCTTCCTCCCACTTTATATACTTAGCATGGTCTGGAAAATATCCCTTTGGTCAGCTGGGGTCATCTGTCCTAGCTGTGTCTCCTTCCAGCTTCCCATGTGCCTCCAGCCTCCTTGACAGCATGGCAGTATGAAAAGCAGAAAAGGCCTTGGCTCTGTATAAACTCTGCTCAGCAATAACAAAAATATCTCTATTATCAACCCTGTGTTCAGTACAAATCCAAAACACAGCCCCACATTAACCACTGAGAAGAAAATTAGCCCTACCCCAGCCAAAACCAGCACACCATCCCTCTCCCATAACAAAATGCTATGATTATATCCTCATGCCTACATCCATTGAGGTTTTTTTAACCATCCATATTAAAGTTATTCACTACAAAAGTTTAAACTAAGAAAGCTGAAGAGTCTCATGTTGAAGTCTCAAGCTGAGCTGTTAAAAGACAGGGATCTCCCATTAGTATTGCCTTTTACATCATGTTGTATACAGAAGATCTTTTTTTCTGGACCTCTACAGAAGAAGAAAAAAGGCATTGCTGATGCTTTATAGAAAATGACTCAGGCCTGAGGACCTTGGTTATCCAGGGGCATAGAATAATAATGTAATTAGAATTCTTTAGTCAGAACATTTGTCCTTCAGTGTGTGTGTCAGAGTATTGACTCTAAACTATCCATAAATGCACTGCCTTTGCACTGTTACTCTAGCCAGATCCTTATTTTCACTCCATTTGGTCCATGAGTGTTTACTACTGTGTAATAATTAAAAAAGGAATCTGAGGATATGCATAGTATGTAGCATGGGAAATTCCTGCTCCAAATGAAGTCAACAGCAACATTCTGTTGACTTTTGATGCACAAATCAGAGCTTTCATAATCTAGCAATATTGTCTGTTTGCCTTATTTATTAGCTTTTAGAAGTTATTTGTGAAAATCTTGAATAGGTTCCTCCCACATTGTCCCTTCAGTCTTAGTGGTTTGTTATTTTGGGGCTGAAATGAAATGCTCTGCACTTGAGAGGAAGAAAGACTATGTATTTAGAATTCCTTTCAGTGCTTGGAATACAATTACTAGCTTCACATCCTTTTGTTTTCCATTTAATGGTTTGGCACTTTTACTCTACATTTTCAATGTCATTTTTGCTTGGTGTTAAAGGGTGATGGGATCCAGCAAACAAGGTGTTGGAGAATTGCTCAGGGTATTTGAACTGTGTCCCAGCTCAGCCATCGATTTGCTTGTAACTACGGACAAGCAGATCAGTAGAGTAGGTCAGTCTTCAATCAGTGATTCTGTTTCTGTTTTTCTTTTTCTTTGTCCTTTATCAATTTTAAGCTTTTAGGCCTTTAGAGATTCCAAGCAGTATTATTACAAGAACAATAACAAGTAATTTCTGCCCATTAACTGTGGATTGTGATGACTAAAACCTTGTTGTCAAACCAATTCATTATAGTCAAAAATTGAACTGTTGACAACCACGTAGTCAGGATAGCTCATGATAAAAATCTTCCTCATGACTTTCAAGGGTTCCTTTCTTGCTTGCTAGCTTTGTAAGCCACAAAGTAAGAAATGCAAATGCCTTTCTCAGATTAAGGACTCATAAATTCCAGAACTGCTAATTCTGGAATTACAGATGCAAAAATTTGGGTCTCTGGAAACTGAGGGCATTGGTTTTCTTATTTGTCTAGCAAGTCTTGCAAGACTTAATGAAAGAGATTTAACCTAGATAAAATGATTCATTTATTTGAGTTTTGCTGAAGTGGTAGTCACTAAGTGACAAACTGGTTCTAATGTTTCAGCCATGGAGGCGCCTGATGGTGGATCAATGCACAACATGTGACTGTTCCTTCGAGGCAGCATCGCGGAAATATACTCTGAGATGTACAAAAGTGAGCTGTGAACCTTGCCCAATGGTAAGTGTGAGGGGTGAGGATGTTCTGGTTAAGAAGGTGTTTGATGAGAAGGTCATGTTCTTCATTCTGTACATGAGTTTAGGCTCAGTACAACTCTGGGACCTTTTGCCTTTCTTTGGGTTTTTCTGAGAAGTCTGTGTTCTGTGTTCTTTTCTCATGAATTAGATGAAATACATCAAATCTGATCTAAATCCCCAGCATAGGAAAGAACTTTGTATAGTACTTGGGTCCACAGGCATATTTTATTGTATATTTTGGATTACTTACTCTTAGGGCAAAGTAAGGTTTAGCAAATCATTTACAACAGGACCTGGTGTGACCCCTTTCCTACAGTGTTGTTTGTCCCTCCAGAGACTAGCAGATCAACCAGATCTCCATGCTTCAGGGCTTTCCTATGACTATTCCAAAATTTCTAATAGCTGAGCTCTACAGTATTTCTGTCCAGTTCCCAGCCATGCCTTAGGTGATTTGAGGTGGCTGTCCCCATCAGTTCCACTGGTCTTTTTGAAGTCTTTGCTGCTGCTTTGCTGCTATCACCTGCAAGGAATGGGTTTGACTGGGAAAGCCAGAGGAAAATAGCTCCAAGTTTTGCTTCACTGACCAACAGTGTGCCTGACTAACGCTGCTCAGTCATGTAGTTTTCTCTCAGCACCAAGCAGAAGGAGACCTAAGCAAGTTTCAGAGACTGTTTTAATCACCTCCTGCCTGAAGAGCACAGACCAGCAGCTAAGTTTCACAGAAAAAGGCTTAAATGCCCCTTCCACTTCTGCCTTTCCATGGATAATGGATGGATCCCAATGGACCCAATCAAACCTTGGGCCTGTGCAAGCAATGGCTGTGGCACCAAAAATCCACATTCTAACATGATCATATGGGATTCCTGCCATACGTTGTTAGGGTCCCTGGAAAAAAGAGGGGCAGAGTTTTGGATGAGTCCAGTCTTTAGTCCCTAAGTAGAACTGGAAAAGACTGGAAATGTAGCAAGTTTCTTTAGAGAGTCATCTGTGCTAATAAATGAAGAGCAAGACTGCAGGCTCAAATTATGTGCTGCAACCCCTTAGCTTGAAGAATTGTCAGCAGTATCCCAGCTGGCCTGTTGTGACTAGGAGATTTCCAAATAATGCCTGGGCACAGGAGAACCCAAGGCCAGCCTGCTTCATGTGGAGAATGCAGCTTAGATATTCATGTGTTCTGCTTGTCTGCAGAGCCTGAAAACTGGCTTTGATCCCTTTTATCTGCTGGCATAGATGTAGCCTGTAAGAAAAGGGAGAATCTGGAATACTTTTTGTGGTTATGGACCCTAATATCACCCTCCTGTAAGGTATGATTATAGACACAGAGTTCTGAAGGGAAAATAAATGGCCAAGCTCAGTGCTGAGCATCTTTCTCACTTCCACAAAATATAACCTGGCAGATCCATGGAAAAAAACCCAGACATACTAGAATGAATCTGTGGCCAGAAACACATGTGCATATGTATATTCCCACACAAAACCCCACAAACGTCTATTCTTGCTGTTCAGTGCAAGAAGCCAGCTGTAGAAATTAAAGGTAGAAGAATCAATATAATACATGGTAAAAAAAATGGAGAAACATTCCTCTCCTGCTTCTTTCACCACCCACACAATTCCCAAACAGCTCCTTTTCCCCACCTGACCCAAAAGTACAGACTAAACAAAAAACCCTGAAGAAAGGGCCATTTCCAGTTGGGCTTATTAAGGACTATGAACTTAGTTTAGGAGATGTGCAGCTACCCAAGGGAAGTTGCAGGTCTAGTTATATATATATATATATATCCCATCCTAGCCATTGTAATGAATCTGGAGCTTGAGGGGGGAAAAAAATCAAATAAGATACAGAATGTCTTCATCCCCCGAAGGCCAGTGGGATTCACACACAGTCTTGGGATCTTTCCTGTCTCAAAGTCATTGATTTCATGATATGCTCAGATTAAAAGCAATTCCTTTGTAATGGATAAAATCATGGGTTAAGAGTACATATTCTCTCAGGAGCACCTGCTTTCCCCTGGATGCTGAAGTTTGAAAAGTAATTGAAGTGCAGCCAACTGCAGCATATTCTGCTCATGAGGGTCTTTTTATGACTTGCTTTAGGTGCTTATGTTTTTACTAGTAGAGCAAGTTCACCTAAATAACATTGAACTATGTTTTCTCCCAATGATTTAATAGCAACCCCCCACCCTCCCCAAATTATCTTTCTATAAAAAACATATGGATAACATGCATGCCTTCACTCAAACAGAAAGTGTTTGTTGTCTTAAAAATGTTCAGCTCATCATAAGCAGCTGTGGGTTATCTGGACCAGCTGGAGACATTACTGTGGGACACTTCATGTGTTAATGCAGTTCCTATCTGGTTTGTTGGTTGGTTTTTTTTCCTTTCCATTATCCACTCTATGCCTTTCTTCCTCTCTATCTAGTGCTGCTTGTTCTCCCATGCTGTTTTTTCTGCCAGTGTTTTTTCCTTCTGTGCTGTTTGTGGAGCTCCATTATTCCTCTTTTCTTTCTTTCTTTCTCTCCTTTTCCCTTTTATTTTATCATACCATCTCTGATGCTGTTTTGTCAAGCCATTTTCTTTTTCTTTCCATAGTCCAAATTTTCCACCTTAGCATCCCTCTTTCCTTTTGCCCACTGCTTACTTGCCCTTTGTTCCCTGGTTTAAGCACTTTTAACTGCTTTTCCAAGCTGCACTGTAGTATTCATTGGCTTTACTGAGAATCTCCTGCACACCATAAATGCAAACTATAAGTCACTCAAAGCATTTTAATGTTTCTTGCCCTCTTCCACTGTCATGTGATGTTCAGTGATCCTGAACTTGCAACACTTATAGTCACAGAATGTTGAATTTAATAGACACAGGAAGCTTAGTACTTGGAAGTAAACTTTTCTCCCTGCTGTATAACAAGTCAGTACAAGGATTAATGCCAACCCTTTAAAAAAGAAAAGTATGTAACTAATTAGATTAAGCTAGTCTAGTCCTACTGTTAAAAAACATTTTGCTGGCTATCACTTTGTCCACTGAATTTTATTTAAAAAAACCCCACCTTAAAATAAATGTGGGATACATACTTAAAACAAACTAAACCCAGAAAAATGTCCTTTATCCTCTAGAATTACAGAAGGCAGGAAGTCTCTGGCTCTTGCTGTGGAAAATGTGTGCCAACTTCCTGTAGCATCAGGCTGAGAGATGGAAGGCTTAAATATCTTCAGGTAAGTTTGAAGGACTCTTTTATTTATGATTAAATGTAAATGTATCACAGTCTTTTGTTCAACCCAAGGCAAGGGCATATTTTCTTCCTTTTTTATTATGTAGCATGGTATTACTACTCCCATTTCTTTTGTATCTCAGAATGAGAAAAGAAAGTTCATTTGTTTGTAAATGAAAAAATAGGATACTTCATACCACAGTGCAAAATTCTAGAGGGACATTCTAAAATGCACCTGCAAACATGAATGTTATCAAGGAACTTTAACCAGAATATGAGCTCAAACAAGTACTTAGAGGAGATTAAAAAGCTTGTTTAAATGCAAAACAGATAATTTAAGTTAAAAATGCAAATTTCAAAAAATTTCTTTAGCATAGAATCATAAAATGGTCTGGGTTGGAAGGGACCTGAAAGATTACCTAGTTCCAACAATCTGCTATGGACAGAGATACCTTCCACTAGACCATGTTGCTCAGCACTCCATCCAACCTGGCCTTGATGCATGATAGGTTCTCAAACAGGAATGGATGCTTTTCTGGTTAAAACCCATCATCTGTCACAAGACACAGCATATAAATTTATTTTTTTTTTATTCCATTCCTGAAAGGCATTTTAAATGGGGAGAATCTGGGAAGAAGAATGAGTCTGGTGAAGGGATCTGGAATACAAACCCTATGAGGAACAGCTGAGGGAGCTGGGGTTATTTAGCCTGGAGAAAAGGAGGCTCAGGGAGACCTTCTCTCTCTCTCTCTCTCCAACTACCTGAAAGGAGGTTGTAGCCAGGTGGGGATTGGTCTCCTCTCCCAGGCAACAAGGGACAGGACAAGAGAAAATGCCCTCAAGTTGCACCACAGGATGTTTAGATTGGTTGTTAGAAAAATTTTATGTGTACAAACCCTATGAGGAACAGCTGAGGGAGCTGGGGTTATTTAGCCTGGAGAAAAGGAGGCTCAGGGAGACCTTCTCTCTCTCTCTCTCTCCAACTACCTGAAAGGAGGTTGTAGCCAGGTGGGGATTGGTCTCCTCTCCCAGGCAACAAGGGACAGGACAAGAGAAAATGCCCTCAAGTTGCACCACAGGATGTTTAGATTGGTTGTTAGAAAAATTTTCTGTGCTGAAAAGGTTGTCAAGCATTGGCACAGGCTACCCAGGGAAATGGTTGAGTCACCAGCCTTGGAGACATTTAAAAGATATACAGATGTGGCACTCAGGGACATGGTTTAGTGGTGGATTTGGCTGGCAGTGGACTCATTCTTAAGGTTTTATCCCAACCTAAATGTTTCTGTGTGGGGGTGTGGGTTTATGTGTTCCTTTAAAGACGCTGCCTACTCAGCCAGCAGGTAAATAATTGTAACTATGTCTCTTTAAAAGGCAATTCATAGGCCAAACTCCCAAGTTTCTCACTTAGAGAAGTTTTTCTTTTAAGTTAATGGAAATTTCTTCCATGTTAAGAGCTGATAAAGGTCAGGTTTTGCCACACTTGTAATCAATATGACTATGGAAGTAAATAGAAGATGATGACTTTGTTGATAAACAACTCTACTAGAGATTTCCATGTTTTTATAAATGTCACCACCATGGTACATTAATTGAAACATCAGTTAAAGGAATCGTCAGGTTGTATAGTATCCTGAAAACTTCCTGTCCCATGTTGTTTCTGTGTAAAGCTAACAGCCCTTAAATCTTTACAGCCAAATGAATCACTTCAGGATGGCTGTGATAATCACTCCTGTAGAGTCACTGAGAAAGGGGAATTTGTCTGGGAAAGGAGAATCACTAGCTGCCCTCCATTTGATTCCAGAAGATGTTTGGCTGAAGGAGTAAGTAGTGAAATGGGTCCTGTTTCCATGTTTCCTAATGGACTCTGTCATGTTTATGGTGCTTATACATAGGTACCTTACATGTCCTAAGGTGGGAAAACCCAACCCTCTCTCAGCACCTTGGCTAAACTGCATTTGAACTTCGAATTTCAGAAAGATATGTTTTCTCTATTTTAAAATATATGCTGGTTTTATGTGAGACTGTTATGCAGGGGAGATGCTGAGCTTGCACTAATTCTGTTATGAAGTATCATAGATGACTATGAAGCTAAATATTTGAAGCATCAAACATCTGAAAATGGTTCTTCTAACAGTGGGATCCAGGACAAAACTGTGTGGATCATTACAGAAACAGAAAACAGGCAGATCAGTCCCCTTTTTATTTTTATATGAATATGCAAAGACATTTTTTCTCTGCCCTTATGTGAGGTTCTGGAAAGGAATTTTCACAATGGTATAGGAAGCTCAAACTTTCACAATTGCAGCTGTTTGGCACAACAGAAACCTTGCACAACATACCCACCCATTTTTCCTGTGATTTGAGGTTAGCTGGACACTGAGGAGCAGAGTGCAGGTTGGACTATAGCACATGCAGTCCTGCTTTTGCTCATCTATTACATTTTACACAACTTGCAGGTGTTAATATCCACCTGTTCCCATTTTCTTGGCCATGACAGGAAGCAGGAAACCTTTAATACAGCTTGTGCACAAACCCCTCTACATCCACACGTAGCAAATGGAGGATTTGTTGTGTAGAGTGCAGCAGGGGAAATGCTTCTACAGAGAGTTTCTCACTTTGTGAAATCACTATAATACACACAGTTTTGTTATACAAAGATTCAGAAAAATGCTACATTATGTTATGGGCTTGGGGTTATGATCATATTCTAAATGTCTTAATGGAAACTCAGTGAAGAATAGTTTACTTTTTAATCAGAATTTCTCAGACTGCATTTATTCTCCATCTATCCCCCAAAATTGAAGAAATTCAGCTATAATATTACTGTTTATTATCTAATTGCAGACAGAAAGTTTAGTTGCTCTAACTAAAAAAAACTCCAAAGGTTTGCATGTAAACCCTCAGGGGTTTAGTGCCACAAGGGCATCTCTCTGCAGTGTAAATATTTCCCCATCTTCTTTCACTACGGATTTTAAACAATTTGCAGTATACATATATTTTTGAGGATTACTTTCTGTGTGGTAGTAGTGAGACAAGAAACGTGAAGTTTTTGGCTATTAAAACTTGACAGATGTGGTGTTTTATGATGATTTGCCTGCACATTTTCAGCTGTTGTGGAATAGACATGCTTTCATCTATACTGCTAAAAAAAATCAAGAGGGATTTATATCTCTTTAAGCAAGGCAGCTAAAGACTTGAATGCTGTTGGTTGTATCTCTCTGATTCCCAGGAATTTATTTGTATTTCTTGTCTTTAGAAAGCTCTTAATGAAAAGTGAAAGCAGTATTTTCTGGTGTTGAACTTGCTAATATAGTAAATTACTTCCAATTGAAAAGTGAAAGCAATATTTTCAGGTGTTGCATTGCTAATATAGTAAATTACTTCCAATCACCTATCAGCAAATACAATCACAAGTTCAAAACCTTAAAATGGAAGATTACTTATGAGGATTTCTAATTTTTGTACAATAAAGAAATACAGAGGTTTTTTGATCCTGCTTTACACATCCTTTGTATTCTTCCAGCAGAAAAATGTGTATTACTTGTGGCAAAATAAGAGTTTTCTTCTTTTATTGTTTTAGGGCAGAATTGCAAAAATTGGCAGCACCTGCTGTGACACATGTAAGTAAATAAACCAAAAGTCTTGTGTGGAAACTGCAGAGAGAGTAAGCTACTGTGTAAGGAGCTACATTTTGCATAATCCACAGTCCAATGGAACAGAGCTAAGCAATGTGGTTATAATAAACCATCAAAGAAGTCTGCCCTCTGATTGGGACACTGCTGTCATGTTTTGTCATCTAGAACACGTGTTTTGACAGTATCACAAGTACTTAGAAAGAAATAGATACTCTCCACATTTTATGCAGATGTTAATTATGAATGTTTTATTTTATTGTTCATCTAGTGATAACAGCAACAATACTGCTCAGACAGCTTGACGAGTCACATAACCTGATACTGCTGAATATGTGAGGAAAACACTTCATGAATAATCAATCAACTTAAAAGGAATTTAGCAAACAAAAAAACCACCCTCTTGGCAGCAATGATTTCAGATAGTATAATAGCCAAAAACATGGTATGGGAAATGCTTGGCAAAGGTGCATTTGTATGGAACAGCCTGACTGTATCTTAAATTCAGGGCTTAGGAGTCAGTCCTGCAATTCTTAATTTGTGTAGCTAATCCAAATGTCAGTCAGGCTGTGAGACTAGGAAGGGTTTTCTTACATAAGGTTCTCATTTCTAAAATGAATCTCTGATGCTTTTGTGAACAGATAACCTCTCAGTTTTCTCCTTTGTAAGTAAAAAATTAATAATGCTGTAGCTCATTTAAGATAAACAAAAGGTAACAAAAGGCTGATATTCTCTTTTAAGGTGTAGGAATATCAACATCTTGACTATGTTCTATTATGTCATTTAATTTTTTTATCTTTCCTATGCATGTGCTAATAAATAAAAGATGGCCAAGCAAAGCAGCCCATCACCACACTGGCACAGTAGCTGCTGCAATAATACCCCTGATGAAGGATGTTGAATTTTAGAGAGTTTGCAGCCATTGCCTGTCTGTGTAATCACTGAGCTCCAGCTTGAGAAATAGAAGTCAGAAAGGTATTGAGATAGACTGTCATCAAATGGATCAAACAGGTAATTTAGTTAAGAGAGCTTTAATCTACCAGGCTTCAAGTAAGGAATACTCAAAATTATTTATTAACAAAACCAGATTTTGCATCTACCTGAAAGGTTGTAGCCAGGTGGGGGTTGGCATCTTCTCCCAGGTAACAAGTAACAGGATGAGAGGACATAGTCTCAAGCTGTGCCAGGGGAAGTTCAAGTTGGACATTAGGAAGAATTTCTATACAGAAGGGGTGATTAGACACTGGAACAGGCTGCCCAGTTTGATGGTGGAGATGTTTAAGGAAAGACTGGATGTGGCACTTAGTGCCATGGTCTGGTTGCTATGATGGTGTTAGGTCATAGGGTGAACTCAGTGATCTCAGAGGTTTTTCCAACCTTAATGATTCTGTGATTCTGTGTGATTCTGTGTTTGAGAGTTAAAAGACAGTGTGGTGAGTAGGCTCTACTAATTGAGAATGCCAATTAACCCAGTTTCAAATGAGAACAGCTCAATACATGTATTTATTTCAAGGTTATAGTGATTTAAACATGATACCTCCTTGCAGCAGCAAAAGCAAACTGATCTAAGAGAAATCTTGTGTGCCTAAAACACAATGCTTGTTCATGCCTTCAGGTCCTTATTCCCATTCATGTTTGCCTGGATAGAGGTGAAAACTGAAAAGTCCTGTATTACAGCACATCCATTCATGGATGCTACCCTATTCAGGGCCCTTCATAAGGAAAAACCCAACATACTTCCTCCAGCCAGCTAACCACAGATTACCAGTTGAAGGACTGAGATGAACACATAGCTTTGAATCAAACTTCTAGATACTGCTAGACACCAAACTCTCTTTTCTGCTCCTTTGTATTTATATCTTTCCTCCAGGGCACTCAGAAGCAACATGCAGTCTGTTATGTACTCTACAGGGAACACCAAGCCATGGCAAAGCTGGTGTAAAACCAGAGTAATTGAATTATTCTTAAGAGCCGGATAAGAGAATAATCAGTTTCTCATGGACACAGATTAGACTGTCTTCCCAGGTCTTGAGAGAGTTTGTCCTTCAGCTGTCTCTGTACCATAAAGAATTAGGCAAACAACTTGTTCTCTCAAGTGCAGGGTGATGTCTTTGCTTAGTTGAGTCCTACATGTCTTTGGGCAAAGGTTGTTTCAGAAGCCAATTTCCCTTTCTATGTTATGCCTTCACAGCTGGAGTTGGTTAGTGTGCCTGAGGGTGTTGTTCCAGGATTTAGATTTGTAGGAACACATAAGTGGACAGGCTTATTTTCTCATTAGATTTTTGTGGTACTAGCAGAGTACTTGATAATTTGCAAAGGATATTCCTTATTCACTTAGCAAACAAGTTGCATCTCTGCTTCTTACCTCTGTTCTCTGGTCTCAATTGCTTATGTCTTGTTAAGTTACAGGTAAGTCTTGTAGAATCCCAAAATGTTCTTCCCTAGCATTGCATAAGGAGTACCACAGAGTCCAGAAAGCAGTGCCTCACCACAGGTGATCTGGAGAGCTGCTCCCACTGACTCCCCTTGAAGGACATCATCCCAAGACAATGGGACCTCTCTCCTGTGACAGCCTCAGGAATAGCCAGCTCAGGGTGCTCTGTTTCTCTGGTCAGGATATTGGGGTTTTCATGTGTGTCATCTTTTCCCTGTGTACCAATGAACTATCTTTAAAAGGAGAGTTGTCTAATACAGAAGCCAACAGGTAAAAGGCAGGTGTTAGGTGGCCAAGGTGACTTTAAAACGAATGAGTCAATTGAAAAGAAACAGGAGGGAAACCCTGCTGTCTAGTGAAATTTTAGGGCTGGAGTGAGATATAGTCACACAGCTCTACATTAATTACTCTAAGGAGACACACCTAACTCTCTTGCAAGGGATCTTAACAGGAGTGACATCTCACTAACTGCAGTTTCAGTAACAAGGGGAAGTGAGTGACAAAAACCCAATTGTTATCAATGTCAAACACTTTTGCCTTTTGCTTTTTTTAACTTGGTAGGTGTACAAGTGGAATGTCGGACAGTAAGTACGAGAATGCAGTATGGGAATATCAATGGATGTGTGGCTGAAAAGGAAGTGCCCATTTCTCATTGTGAGGTAAATAATAAAAGCACTCCCCCTTCCCCAAGACCTGCACTTCCCCACTATCTCTCTTCTAAAAGGAAACCTTTCCTCCACTGCAGCTTCACTTCAGTAAGTGAAGCTTTCCTCGTTGATTGACTTGGTGTAAAGCTCATTGACACTTGTTTCCTAAAGTAATTTGGTGACACTGAGCTTTTCCTGTTCAAGCCAGCATGAAAAAAGGCACATATGTTAGACACAAAGGCTTTGTTCATCCCACTCTCCTTTGCTTCCATCAGAAATGGATGACTCTGAAGTGGGTCTGTTAGGACTTTGTACAGAAAAAAAAGGAATTTTTATCTCTCATTAGCAAAGCTGATTTTGAGATCTGAGTCTATAGTTAAGCACCAAAGCTCTGAGATTGATTAGGAGAGTGTAAATAGGTATTTAGATGACAGATACTCGAGTGCCATGATTTGACTTCTTTGCTCTATAACTCCTCCATTTAGCCTTGGCACTAAGCTATTGTGTTCTATGTGTCTTGTGCATTTCTTCCACAATCAGGTTAAAAGTTCAATTTCCAGCCCATCACTGCTTATACCTTATAGGGCAACTTCCTTCTGAAACAGGAGCATGGCACCTCTTCCGGATGTTCCCACTGCTCCAAGACTGGGAATCAAAGGTGACATTCTCTTCCCAGACTGGGTTGTAGCAGGACAGTAGCTCAGTCCGAGAAAACCAAGCCTCATACAAGGATTTTAATCAACCCTTGTGTACAATCCAAGTTCTGGCATGTAATTGTGACAGTCAAGCAGATGGCATGTACCCAACTCCCTGAGTATTCACTTCAGTTAAGGCAGTAGGCAAAATGAGTCTTTCTGTTCCCCATGACTAGTGAGAAAAGAATGGCAACAGAGAGGAGGAATATTAAGGGCATATATGCCCAGGATTTTCAGAGGACCTTCATTTGCTGTACAAGTCTTATTAAGAGTGGAATCTTTAAGAACTGGAACAAACCCACTTTTCATTAGAAACTATAAAATTATTAGTTCTTGACCTCTTATCCTGTCCACAAAGTCAATGGTCCTTAGCCATAAAGTGATATGTATTGAAGTTTCTCCTGCAGAATTAGATTTTATATTTGGAATAGCTAGTATTATGTGTAGTTTTTCTAAAGTCCTCCTTGATAATTCTGTTCTTTTTATATTCCTTTATAAATTAGGCTCAGAAATTAGACCTCAGACCCATAAAAAGAGATAGAGTCTGACAGAGTGTGATGTAGGGCCATTTGTTTTAACATCAAGAGAGCTTATAGTGACAGGCATTGACAGCTTTGTTGAAATGAGTAAAGTGGCCAGGCAAGTTGAACAAGGAAAAAAAGCACCAGCAGGAAGACAATGGATGTGTGGCTTGCACTGCTTGGGCTAAAGCAGTTTCTGAATGTATGATCTTATACAGCTGAAATGATAACTAAATGTGCTTAGGAGCCAACACTAGCCCTGGACATTGCCTATAGTATTTGAAATTATAGGCTTTTTTGTGTGTGTGACATTTCTTCACCTCTCCTTTGCTATGCTTATGCTCATAAGACATTACCCTGAGCAGCAACCCACACTCTGGAATCAGGTATGTGTTTATGAGTTCATGTTTTACTCCAGAGCACAAAACTTGGGCAAAGTCGTCCATGGATGCTTTGAAGGAAAGAACCAGGATTCTGAATGCAATGTGGTCTGGCTCTGTTCAAACTTCTTATCCCTTTTCTTCCATTTAGGGTAAGTGCAGAAGCATCACCAGGTACTCTGTTCAGACAGGGAAATGGGAAGATGTGTGTAGCTGCTGCACAGCCACTCAAACCACCATTGTCACGATCCCCCTCCGCTGTGCCAACGGGACAGTGGTGCAGCACTACATCCCTTCTGCCTCCCTGTGCGAGTGCCACTCTCGGAAGTGTACAGACTGAATAATTCCAAGAAGCCCAGTTGTTTAATCTCAAGTCTTATGATGAAGGAACTTCACAGTGCAAGCCTCATTTTCTCTGTAGATTGTCTTACCCAGTAGAATCCTGACTAACTAATTGTATCCACATAGCAAACAATAAAAGTTACTAGCACAACAGAATGTGTTCTGATTCATCTTGGAGTGGTTTATACAAGAGATATTCCAGATTGTATTGTTCATCTTCACCATGGAAAGTAATCCACATTATTGAAAAAAATTCCCAAAACAACTACAAATGAAAAAGGAAACTTACAGCACAGTAACAGAAACAGACTCACAGAACAGGTAAGGTTGGAAGGGACCACAGGGAGTCTGAACCACATCTGGTCCAACTTCCCTCCTCAAGCAGAGTCATCCTAGAGCACATGGCACAGGATTGTGTCTGGATGGTTCTGGAATTTCTCCAGCGAGGGAGACTCCACACCTCTCTGGACAATCTGTTCCAGTGCTTGGTCACTTGCACAGTAAAGGTCTTTGTCTTGTTCTGGTGGAACTTCCTGTGCATCAGTTTCTGCCCATTGCCTCTTGTTCTAAACAGTTGCTTCTTCTTAAACAATATATCCCAAAGCAATTAGCATTGTATTCAGAGATATTGGACTTGTATTCCCCACTTCAGTCCTGCGTGACACACTATGGAATTTTAAGTTTTTGCTCTTTTTTCCCCTTCTATTCAGGGACTACAGTAATTATGGCATAAGACTTCATAGTAGGAGTGTGATGTTCTTGTGTTGTGGTTTAATCCCAGCCAGCCACTCACACTCCCTCCTCCCCCCTCTTCCCCCCCAACCCGGAGGAATGGGGAGGAGAAAAAAACCAAAGTAAAATATGTAGGTTGAGATAAGAACAGTTTAATAATAATAAAGACCAGAATGAGCTAAAATGCTAATGGATAATAAAAAGAACAAAATCAGTGATACACAATACAATTGCTCACCACCCACAGACTGACACAACCCTGTC